TGTATGTGTGAGAGAGAGAGAGAGAGAGAGAGAGAGCAATGACGCCCTCTAGTGGCTGCAGCTCACATGGGGGATTCAGTTCCGGGCATAGTGAGTGGAGACTCATCTTTGGGGAGCGGCAGGGGTGTGCACATGAATGCAGGTGCATGTCTGCACTGCCATCTGTTGGAGGGAATGTGAACTACCCACCCATGTGTCTCACGTCCCCTACGACACACAACTAAACCCAGTGCACCCTAGTGGACAGAATCAGAACTGCCAGCCTCTGTGTGTCATAGCCCCTATACTGTTCACACCCAGCAGCAATTCTCCTTTCGGTTCAGAGGGCAAGGTGGGGCAGGTTACAGCGTAGGTGTGTTGCAGATCTCTCATCTCAGATCCAGGGAGGGTTGTAACAGCATGGAGGCTGCTAGGATGTGATGTGCCTGTGGAACTGCCTGCCACTGGATTGTAGTTAATGGAGGCTTTCTCTGTTCTCTCCCTCCAGGGAGGCTCAGAGACCAGGTGAGGGATCCTATCACACTAGCCATGCCCAGATCCGGTGCCTTCATCCCTCTCCTCCTCCTCTTCCTTCTCCCGGGGGTCTCCTCCTACTGCTACACAGGCAAAGCTGAGGTGTGCGATGAGAACATGGCCTCTGTGCCTGCACACAACCTGGTGGGGGAGGGCATCGACATCACCACGCTGGAGTGGACAGGGGCCTTCCTGGTGGACACCAGTTTATGGCGCGGCCCAAACGGCACCTGCAGCCTGTGCCGGAACCCGCTGCAGGAGGGGCAGGTGCAGAGGCTGCCTCTGGCCGTGGTCGACTGGAGGGTCCACAGCTGGTGCAACCGGGCCCTCAGCAGCTCGGTGGAAGAGTCAGCCGTGGACGTGGCCCGGGCAATAGCGTCAGATGTGAAAAATAACTGGAAGTTGGGGCTGCGGCTGCCGGATGAGTCCCCGGTCCTGGCCCTGGCGGGGTCCCAATCCCGGCTCGCTGGTTTTGCCTACCAGAAAGAGCTGCATGACAAGTACATGTTCATACGCCACGAGGTGTCCTGTGTGTATTACAGGTGAGAATCCCCTGCAGCGCCCTCTGCTGGGCCCCACCCTGCTCCCTGCAGCACAGCGCCCCCTGCTGGGCCCCACCCTGCTTCCTGCAGCACAGCGCCCCCTGCTGGGCCCCCGCCCTGCTCCCTGCAGCACAGCGCCCCCTGTCGG